CCCCTTCCCAAAATACCTTCAACTGAAGGTTTCCAGATGGATATGCGGAGCAAATCCATCTGGCGGAGTCAGGTTAGCACACAGTGGCATTGGATGCAGGATATTTTTCTGACTTGACTTTCAGGGCGGGAAAAGAAAACTTTCTTATCTAGATTTGTTATTTCTCACAAACCTTTTAGGGCTTCCATAGTTGCTAGATTCAGTGAAACCAGAGTAAACATGCCAGTGTAAAGAAACCCATTGTGTTTACATCCTGGAACTTAAATGCCACATAAAATAGAGTCATTTAATATTCATCAAAAATCTGCTCCCAGAAAGTTATTGTAGTGTTTTATAATCTCACCCATCATGTAGATTCTGTTTCCTATCACGAAGGGTGTAGCTCCGTAGCGCGGCGTCGGCATGGCGGTGGTTGCCTGCCACTGATCTTTCTCTGCGTCGTAGACTCTTACAAAAGCCTGAGGTGTCGTGTCGACTCCCATACCCCCCACTGCATACACCTTCCCATCTGCAGAGAAAAAAAGGCGTTATTAAAACCTTCATTAGACCTAGATATTATATATACAGTTTTTGGAACACTTTTTATCACCTCCTAACTTTGAGGCAGAGGTCCAAACCAGAGACCACGGGTTTTACCAGGGATCCAGATTCTATATAGAAACCCTTAAAGAGAAATGGTGCCGACACCCATCCAGAAACACTCACATCCAAAGGTAAGGTAGGGTTTATACATTTAGACATTGACCAGAACCTTGCTTTTCTGATGGTTTCTATAGTAAAACATGCAGAGTTGATACATCAACAATGATTTCAGATCTAAACCTTTCCACCATGAGGCAACAGCCAACCAGTTAAGCCCCGAGCAAAATTTTAACTGACAACTAGGAAAATGTCTAGAAAATGTTGAACAAAATGATGCTCCTGCAGAAACACTGCAAGGGGAGAAGATGAGAACAGATTTATCAGAAGAAGAGGAAACAAGCGGAAGGTAAGGAAAGCGGGAAAAGGGGAAACAATGGAACTGATCAAATGATCATATTTAAAATCCATTTGCTCTCAGAGTTGTACAAAAAAATGTTGCAAAGGACAGAAGTGAGAAAAGAGAGAGAAGCAGTGAATCACAGGGATTCTTAGTCACTCAGATGACAGAAACTCTGAGCTGCGACTTAAACTGTGAAGAACAAAGCAATAATAAATCTGTCTCTCAGGATGCAGCAATATGCACATGGACATCCTATTTAACTGTTGCACATAAACCAAATGGTGCAGAGAGAGCACTCCTAGCATGTAGCACTGCATAATACATGCAGCTGGAGAGAGGCTGCAAGGCAGGATAATCACATCACTGCAGAATTCTTAATCACTACCTCTGAATGGGCTCTGGAAGCTCTTTTAAGGGTTCCCCGAAAAAAAAGAAATCACCCAGAACCTTAAGGCCGGCATCAGCCAGGTGTGGTGTGCAGAACTCGGAGGGAAACAGAGGAGTAATGGCTCTAATGCGATAAAACTCAGACAGGCTACAAGGAAAGGACTCAAACCCACCAGAATCCTGCAGAGTCGCTACAACCTGACATGTTCTCTGAAATCATCGGCCTGCAGTCTTTGCTCTGATCAATGGGAGGATCCTCAGGCTCTTTGGTGCACATCCTGATCCCTGATCCATGCATGTGTGTCGGTAATAATGACTGCAGCCATGGACTCACTCTGAGGAGCCCGGGGGGCGGCTCCCCCTCAGCAGTACGGAAAAACTCAGACCAGGAATTATTTGTGTCTTAAAAACATAAGATGTTTTTTTTTCATGTAAAATGCAAGAAGAAATAATTATGTCAATGTTGAATAATTTTTTTTTTTTACCATGCACTGCAAAAAATATAAATCTAAATAAGTCACTTTTTCTTAAATTAAGTGCATTTTTTCTTGAATTGAGGATGTAAGTGATTCACTTTGCCAGTGGAACAAGACAATTTACATTTAAAATAAGAAAACAACTATTGCTTAGTCTTATTTCAAGTGCATATTTTCTAATTATCTTATTTTAAGTGTAAAAATACTAATTCCATTGGCAAACTATCCCATTTACCTGCTCAAATTAAGGTTCAATATACTTGAGTTAAGACATTTTTACTTAATTTCAGATCGTTTTTGCAGTGTAAATTATAAATTTCTTACCATAAACTGCCTTGAACATCAATGTGTTCAACAGCTGTTACCACAAGCGTTTCTGTGGTTCCGCAGGTTCATTTTTCTTGCCAAAGTTATAGGATGGAGAAGGAAAAGGAAGCCGTTCATCGTAGCCGCCACATTCACTTATAGTTTGTGGTGATATTTATTTCACATGAAGCATAAAGCAGCTCAACGCAGCACAAGGTAAAGTAACTGACAGTGTCAGTCCAAATAAATCAGTTCCTTTAGCCACAGTGGAGCATTTCCTCACAGAATAAAATAAGAACCTCTTTTTACGACAGATTGACACAGATTAGTAGAAACAGCTTACAATTCTTTGACTTTCCTATTTATAATAAAGGGAAATGTTTTAAAAGGGAGGAAACAAAGGACTGCTGTAATGTGACAGACGTTCCTTAAATTAAGCTTTTGTTTATTTCAGATTTGGTTCTCTTATATTCAAATAGCTGAGAGTTACCAACCAACTTCTAACTGCTTAGAGATATGAGCTCTGCAGCAAAATAAAGCAAATAGCTTCCAAACTTTGCAGCTTCAGTCTCCGTGGTAACAGCAGTGGTGTCAAAAGTACACCCATTTGTTACTTCAGTAGAAGTATAGATACTGCAGTTTAAAAACACTCTGGTAAAAGTTGAAGTATCAACTTGACCTCTTTATTCAAGTAAAAGTGAAAAAGTATGCGCTCCAAAAACGACTGAAAGTATAAAAGTATGAAGTAACCTTTAAAAAAACAGACAGATGCCACTTTAAGAATTGAAAGCTCCATTTTTGTTGGTCTCCGTCTCCCGATACGCTCTCGCCACCTGAGTGAAGTTGACCCCCCCACCTTCTTCAAATTAGACAAAATTAGTGTCAAACATTTGTGCAGCAAAAATTTTCGTCTGTGCCGCTATAATTTTAAAGATATAAAGAAACGTTTCTAGAGGTCATCAAAGGTCAACCAGCCCCCCACCTTCTTCAAATCACACAAAATGGGTGTCAAACGTTTGTGCAGCAAAGACAGATGTTGACTGACCTTTGATGACCTCTACAAAATATTATTAATATCATTAAAATGATACCCGTAGAAATTAACATTTTTGCCATACAAAAATATAAACATTTAAAATAAATTTCAAGTATAAAATATTCAAAATAAATATATAAAACATTTAAAAATGCATATTTTAAAATATATACATTATTTGTACTACTATCATTTTAATGATATTAATAGTTGTTTGTGAAGCCATCAAAGGTCAGTGAACATTTGTTCATTTTGAAACTCTGAATTTCATATAAATTATAAGTAGCTAACCTATGATTATATAATTTTAAACTGTAAAAAAATGATGGCGGCACAAACGAAAATTTTTACTGCACAAACGTTTGACACCAATTTTGTCTGATTTGAAGAAGGTGGGGGGGGGGCAACTTCACTCAGATGCTCATGCCTGTGTCCGACCTTTCAGACATTTCAACATCTTTTCCTGAATCCCACATCGTAGCATGGCATAGACAATTCACGTTAGCAGTTTGAAGAACACCTGCTTGCTTCTGATGATTTCCTTTAGCTAACCAAAGAGTGTTTGCGTTATATGACTCATCCAATCACACTAGTTTTCACTAGATGTGGGCGGAGCCAATGATCTGCATTGGATGGAGCACATGACGGGAAATAAATATTTAGAAACATTAAACCGAAGCCAAGAGTAACGTTTGCTTTACAAATGTAAGGAATAGAAAGTAAAGATATGTGTGTGAAAATGTAATGAGTAGAAGTCAGAAGTAGGAAGAAAAATAAGTAATGGAGTAAAGTATAGATACCTAAAAAGTGTATTTAAGTACAGTAACGAAGTATTTGTACTTTGTGACACCTCTGGATAACAGTTCATAATTATTTTCATTCTATTAAAAATCCGCACTGAAGGCTTCTTTAGCAAGTTACAAATAATCTCATGTGTCGTATTATCTGGACTGTCAGCCTCTACTTTTTGCTTTGAATAATGAAGCGTGGATTTTCTATNCTTCTTTAGCAAGTTACAAATAATCTCATGTGTCGTATTATCTGGACTGTCAGCCTCTACTTTTTGCTTTGAATAATGAAGCGTGGATTTTCTATGGATTTTTCTTCACCTGCAAGGTGCGCTTTAGCAGGAAGTGAAAAAAACAAGACAGGGAGGAAGTTAAAGTTGGAAATGATAGAAAAGGAAAGTGCAAATTTTCTTTTAGAACATGCAAGCCGGACAGAGAATCTTTTTCAAACCCATATCAGCTCATTATGAAAACCACCCAAAGAAGCTAATATGATGCAGCATTTAAGTTTAAGGCAATCGATCTGTCAGTACAGGATGAAAAATAGAGCTGCTGCACGTACGCTTTCCATGAGTGAATCCTTGTTTCATCCAATGCCGAAATACTAGAGCAGTTTTCAGTGGACATAATAGCAAGTGGCCGGACCTGGAACATGCTCTTGAGGACTGGGTTAACACTCAAGCCTCTTTTCAACTGAAAATAGCGCGCTAACGCGTGTTTTTCAAACACTGACCTGCAAACAAGTATAACCCTGTGCATGCAGGCGGTGTGGCCTCTGTCCCCCTGCAGATGCTTGTCTGGTGAAACCATCACACTGGGTTAGCATTGATGTTGTCACCAGTGTGACAGAAATCAGGAAAGTAAACAATGGAGAGCAACATGTAAGGAAGCCAGGGGGTAGTCAGTGTCCATGTTTATTGACTGAAAATAGAGTTGTTTCTGCTTGTTAGTTCAGAAGCGACTGGCGCATAGTGTTGACATTGGGATGTTTGGGTTTATACAGGTTTTTTTCAGCCATTAGGAAAGGGGTATAAGTTACATCTGTGTGTCTCTGTCTCTGCTTCTGTCTCCTTGAACCCCAGTCAGCTTCAACAGATGGCCGCTCACACTGATCCTGGTTCTGCTGGAGGTTTCTTGTTCTTGTCCCTGTTCAAAGGGAGTTTTTCCTCTCCACTGTCGCTACAAGCATGCTTAGTGTGAGGGATTGCTGAAGAGTCAATGAGTCGATGCAATCAACTGGTTTCCCTTAGATAGAAACTTTAAATCAGCCTGACACGATGATCTGGTGAACTGGAAAG